AGCACATTCCCAGTGGAAAAAACATAACAGATGATGTCTCGCGAGGATTGCATGTAAAGCAGCTGATGGGTAGATGGATGAACAGCCCAGAATTTCTAACACTGCCAGAGGAACAATGGCCAGTCCAAACAGCTACACTGCAACAAGAAGGAAATATGGAGCGTTGCCACATTAATGTTGTCTCTGCAGTCTCGCCTGCAGATGTTGGAAATGTAACTGATGTGAAGAATTCCTCCAGTAGGTGAAAACTGATACAAGTTAACGTGTAGATAAGGCAATTTGCAGAGAAGATATGCCCCAGGAGAAACACACTCACGGGACGAGAAGGACCTTTCATGCCTGAGGAGTTAAAGAAGGCTGAGTTGTCATGGATTAGAAGAGCCCAAAAGGATTTAAAGAGCCGAATAAAGAATGGAGACTTCAAGACATTGAGCCCGTTTATAAACAATGAGGGATCATCAAGGTTGGAGGAATGATTGACAAAACAATCATGTCCTACGAAGGCAAACACCTAATGCTGCTTCCCAATGAGCACAGGATATCCCTGTTGATTACATGCCATATGCAAAACCATGGGCATCCTGGAGTAGCAACAAGGACGGCAAAAATACTGGATCCTGAAGGCGAATAAGCTTGGTAAGGCTGTGAAAATTAGATGTTTCTTGTCAAGAAATGACACACAAGGCAGAGACACAGTTAAAGGCAGACCTGTGGGCCCTCTGCTTGGCACTACAAACACCTCTGTCCTACTACCCCTTGTGTGATTACTTTCGCCCATATAATGTGAAGATAGGGCGCAACAAGACAAAAAAGCACTATAGCCTTATCTTCACCTGCTTAATCACAAGGAGCCATTCATCTGGAATTAGCTGTTGACATATCACCAATGGAATTTATCCAGGTGCTAAGAAGTTTATGCTCCATCTGTGGATACCTGGCAGTGCTGTTGAGTGTCAATGGGTTACAAATGGTTGGCGCACAGTGGAAATCATGCAAAATAGTCAAAGGTTTAGATTCTGACAAACTCCATGATTGCTGCACTGAAAGAAGCATCAACTGGTTGTTCACCGCTCCAGCTGCCCCTCATCAGAACAGATGTGCTGAGGCACTTGACAAAAGTTGTAGGCATGCTTTGAAGAAGGTAATTGGAGAACAGCTTCTGAGTCTGTTTGAGCTACACACATGCCTGCTAGAAACAGTGTTTGAAATTAGCGCTTGCCCGGTTGCCTGAGACAACTAAAACTTCATTCGGGGAACCAGATCTTAGGAAAAATAAAGGGCAGGTTGCCTGAGAAGATTTTGCCAAACAACCCAGAAAAAAATCAAAGTACTTACATTACTGTGATGCCTAACAGAATAAAGAACAGAAGCTATAAACTTGAGACACGAAAATAGCCTAAACTGTGAGGTTTATCTTCGAATACTGATAGATGGATCCACACAGGAAGGTTGTGATAATTACTTAACACCATTTGCTTGATTCAATAACAATAAGCCACAATAAGCTTGCTGTGTTGTCTTCAAACCCAGATCTCCTCAAAATGTTTTGGCGCATGTGTATTTTAGTCTTTTTTGAGCCATTGTGGGATGAATGCTTTCAGATCTTTCAAGTGACAAATTATTTGAGGTAAGAGTAAGGTTGGCTTTATAAGAGAGGTTGTCATAAGTAGCTGCGCTAGCCAGCACTAGCTACTAAGCTTGGCGATTATTTAAATGTAGAAGAATAATTAATAGCATTTCTTTCATCAACGGAATCCATTTTGCCAGCATTTGCTGCATTTTCCAACATTTTGTACACCTCCAATGAACCATGAAGGCATTTCAATAAAAACATTTTTTTATTGTAACTTTATTGCTCTTATGTGACTGGTAATGTGGACGTGTCTTGCTTTCTGTCAAGGAGTGCTCTTCCTGAATGCTACAGTAAGTCGTTTACATGAAAGCGCAAATGGCTTGTTTGCAGCTATTGCAAGGAAACCATTTCGATTCCTGTCTTTTACATCAAATCACAGAAGAAGCCCTTTGAATAGGTTTTTAAAAGGGGTTTGAATTCTGAAAACTCTGTGCAGTCCCTTTGTAAAATGTGACGGTTTTTAATTCTATAGTTTAATCAGTTCACAAAATAAAAAGCAACAGCTCAGTAACAGCTGGCTTTTTCTTTACTCAGTAGACACTGTGATTTGGATTGTAAGCCAGTGATTACAAGATCTTTTTTAATGATTTCTAAATATCGATTATTATGAATTATGATATTCACCTTGACTATTTAAAGTATAATTTCAATCATGAATATTTTCGCTACGTTGTTAGTTGCAGAGAGAAAATATGGCAGTTTGTAACTGGTGCAAAACCTCCAGAAAAGAGGGCAAAAATGTCTGACAGTACAGCCAGCTATGAGCAAAAAAAGCGGAAGAGAAAACCCCAGTCAGCATGGAAGGTCAACAGGCCTTGGTAATTGTTTAAAGAAGAAGGCATGGTTTGCTTCTATTGTGTTGATGCCAACATACCTGAAAATAAAACTGAGTTTGTTAAAGGTTGCAAGACTGTTTGGATCAACTCTGTATGAAAACATGAAACCAGTGAATTACATATGTACGCAGCTGAGGTGTTGAAAAACCTTCTGAAAGGGGTATAAGGAAATTTAATTTACTAAACAAATTTGTCATTCTCTGTTTTACTTTTGTATTTCACTGAATACAACTGAGATACCCCATCTTTTTTAGCTGAGTACACTTCCTAATGAGAAGGCCCTTTAAAGGATGAATGATGAGGTGTTTGCTAAGTTGGAGAAAATGTTTAGAACTTGTCATGCTATCGCGAAACACAATAGACCATTCAAGGATTTTGTTTGGCAGTGCAAATTGGATAAAGGCAAAGGACTAAAAATAGGGATAACGTACAACAATGACAAATCAGCCAGGATGTTTGCCCAAGCAATAGCAGACATAAGTTGCGGTTCCACTAGAGCTTTTGCCCACGGGAAAGTAGGAATTTACCCACGGGGAGTCTGTGTTTTGTGTGTGACTGATATTCCCACAGTGAAACTGCCCACGGGAAATCACTATGGATACATCAAAAAGAACAAAAGAATTCCCATGACATTCCCTGAACCAAGTAGTAGGGTTTAGCCTTGGTTTATCTAGCCACAAGAGTAGTTCAACCAATCAGGCGGAAGAAAATTGCAAATACAGGAAACCGCAGCACATGCTGGGCACATTTTTGCGGTGTTGAACTGAATTCGCGGCAAATGCTCTGGCACATACCAAATTCGGGACACGCGGTAACAAGCATGGCAAACTTTCGAGGTCCAAAGTGAGTATATTTTACTTGTCTTTCCTCAAATACCCTAATTATCTGAGTTCCTTTAGTGCGGCATAGTTTTGTAATTCTTTTTTTTTTTTTTTCACAGCAACTTTAGATCAGACGATGGTGAGGAAGATGCACTGTTGTACAACGGTTATTTATTTCAGAGAAGTCAAGAGCAAGAGAGTTATCAAAATCAACTAAGAGCGTACTCTCCATATCCGTATTATTTAACTAGCAACCCAAGAATACCTTACCAGTACGTTCCTCAGGAGGCTCCGCGATCTTGTAGCCCAATCAGCAGTTCTCAAGCTGACTTATCTGGTGAGAAGGGTGTCACAGAAAAGAGCAGGCGTACAAGCTGGGAACATGCAGAAACACGAAGTTTGATTGCAGCCTACCGGGAAAATTACAATCGTTTAAAGTCCACAAAGAGTAGCCATGGCAAGAAAAGCGTATGGGATTCAATTATGGCAGATTTTGTTAGTTTCTGCTGCGACGCCGGCATAGAATCAGAGAAAACACTAGCCCAGATTAAAGAGAAATGGCGCTCTTTGTTCGACAAATACAAAGCCGTCAAAGATAACAACAACAAGACAGGAAGGGACCGTAAGACCTTTGAGTTTTACGATGAGATCGATGAGTTCATGTCAGGGTCCGACAAAGTGAACCCAAAATTTGTCAAGGAGACAAGAGTAATTCAAGTGAGGCCACAGGATTCCGCAACGAATTCTGAGAGTAGGGACAGTGACGAGTTAGCTACTGTCACTACTGCTGATCCAACAACAGTCGCTGTTGGGGAAAAGCCCAATGAGAAAGAGGATTCACCCTGCCCACCAAAAAAGAAGAAAAAGAGAGCAAGCCTTGATGGAAAAGAGGCAGAAAGTACCATTCTGAATCTCATGGAGCCACAACAAGCAGCCAGCATCGAGAAAGCAGACGAGAAAGACCAGCGGATGTTCGAGGCTTTGTAAAAATCCCAAAGCGACTCTCAACAAAGGCACCAGGAATTTACTCTTTCTGTCTTGGGCAAACTAGGCGAGATTTTCTCTTCAAAAAAATAAAGAACTTTTTTTCTTTACAGTATAAACAACTAAAAAATCAATTGTTCAAGTTGTAGTTTTCTGTTTTAAAGGACATTGAACATGAATTTTAAACCATTTTATACACAATACGACAAACGAACTCTCACGTTTTTTTTATTAATAGATTAAAGTGTTACGAGGAAAATTCATGTGATATTATTTCTATATTTTAATGTTCACATAATTTCTTAAATGCTGCCACTAGGCATGGCCATGTTACAGTTTTGCATCAGTTATAGTTCAGAACATTCACGAGAAACATGAAAGCTTGTATGATTATTATTAAACCTGGGAATTCAGTTTTGCTCTTTTAATGAAAATTTTAATAAAAATAGAGTTTTACAATCAAACGTTGTGATTAAATGGTGAGAAAAGGGTAATCAGGGGAGTGGTTTTACAATATTGAAATTATAAAGGGCCAACAACAGAAACATGGTCTAGCGTTGATCAGTTACTTGCAAGTAAACCGGGCTCCTCTGTTTTCATTTTCGGTGGCTGTTCACGAGGTGTTTACTATGGAAGGCCTTTACACTAGTGTCCATACTACCTTATTTTATTACGGAACAGAGAGCATCACTGAAAAAAAAAATTATTGATTTGCTACAAATTCAATTACAGCCAGTCGAACACCGTTTGTAGCCTGGCTGGGAACTCCATTGTCATCATCAGCGTCATCATCACTATCGTCCTCGACATCTCCATCAAATTCTTCCCCTCGAATAATACAAATGTTACGGTTCCCCCCAAATCCAGGGTAGGTTCCATGAGAATGTCCTCATTTTCGGCGGCCCAGTACACATCGCTTAGTCGCAGCATTCGAGAATCATGCAGACTCCCGGGAAACCCAGTGGCAACAGATAAAAAGAGTCCCGAAGAGTCAACAATCCCTTGTACTAAATAACTGTAAAAATGTTTCCGGTTAAAGTAGTCCTCGTGATTCTCTTTTGGTGCTTTTATAGGAATGTATCTACCGTCAATCGCTGCAACAACATTCGGAACCTTGCTCTTCTCAGAGAAACCTTCAATTTTCCTGCTTATTTCCACCCTTGTAGAAGGAAACTTTATGAAGTCATCCTGCAGATGGCAAATTGCCTCTACAAACTCATGACAGCACTTAACCACTGTAGGTTTTGCCAGTCCGATCATCAGTCCACATGAGCGGTAGCACTCGCCAGTCGCCAAACGCCACAAGCTCACAGCCACTCGCTTTTCAACTGGAATAGTGTCACGCATTTCAGTGTTTTGTCGCGCTATTGCTGGCCCTACCAGCCTACAGATATACTCAAAAGTAGCCCGAGACACGCAGAAGTTTTCCTTCCACCAGTGATCGAGAGCTCTGCTGTTTAAAAGTTCCTGGAACCAGTTCTGCGGACGAGGAAATACCCAAGCACGTCTTGGCTGGTGAGCAACTTGCAGGCGACGATTTCTATAGAACAAATACAACATCTGGAGTGATTGTAAGTCGTAATCGCAGACGCCTTCTACGCATTCGCCTTAGAATGAAGTTTTGGATCGCTGAATCAACCGGATATTGCCGTATAAGAAGAAGAAGAACGACTGAAAGGAGACCATACGTCTCGCAGTTTGCGATCTCCATGATGCATTAAATTTCCCGCCAAACACAGCGAGGTCAAACATTCACCTCGGGCAATATTTTGCAATGTAACCGGAAAATATTATCTAACCGGAAACCCAAGCTGATCCCATCCCAAGCCAATTTCCCCTTGGGAAACCGTGGGCAGAACGTAAGTGTAACCACAACTATAGAACGTGCCAAGGTCAAAACTGAGATTGAAGAATTGTCCTTGTATTGTGCCAACGCGTGGCTGCATAAATTTTAACTCTTAAAATTATCACTAGATTTAGTGCTTTCAGCTGGATATTCACAGTTTAAAATTTGAACTTAAAATTCATTGGTTTCGAACAACATGCTGGTTTAGGCCCAGGTCGCACTTGTGAAATTTAGTTCCAAATTGTGTTTATTTTAGGTTAAAAATCTGTCATCATGTCACGTTTCCTAATGCGACCAGCTTTTCACCAGTTTGGAAAAAATTGGGAAAACCGACCAAACTTCAAAGACGCCGTATTGCATGGGTGGGGCAAGCTGATTTTGAAAAAATCGAGGAAAACAAAGGGAGCCGCTTCTGGAGCTGTCATTGCTAATCGATTTGACCCATTGCAGCTGATCCTACCTGTATCGGCGGGAACTTGTAATTATTATTACGCACGTGCATTGGAATGGAAGGACAATATCCATATTATTATCCGCCCAGATCTTTTCCTGTCCACTTCAGGTACTACAACCATCCCCAGGTTCGACCGACTTGCAACTGCCAGGGCCTAGCGGTGTTTTAGCAGTCGGAGACCCAGCTAGCCGATCCATCAGCCCAACAACAACATTGAGCAATAGCCGAGTGGTTCGACCGACGGAACTGTGAACGATGCCCTAGATGTGGAAGCGGAAGATGCTGCTCAGTCCAATAGAAAGCAGTACGATAAATGGACAAAGGAAGAGCAGAAAGCACTTATAAACCTTTGGACTGATCGACATGAGCGTTTGGAAAGCAAAGACACGCGGAAGATTTGGGAAGAAATTGCGGGGGAGATTAATCGAAGGTTTGGTACCACTCGCTCTGGAGAGAAATGCCAGAAGAAAATGAAATATCTCATCGAGAGATACAAAAAGGCCAAGGATTGGAACAGTCATCAGACGGGTGGACACAGATGGAAAACTGTCTTCTACGATGAAATAGATGCTGTTCTTGGATGCAGGGACGTTGTTACGTTACGTAATGTAGCCAAAGCGAGTGCATCAACTTCTGCCGCCAAGTCCGACGCAACCAAGTCCAAGGACAACGAGTTACTAGGACAAGACACAAGCCTAGAAGCTCGAACGGAGCGTAAAAAGAAATGTAAAAGAGCTAGACCTCAAGAAGGCGATGAAGAGGGAGACCTGATTAAAGCGTCCTTGGTAGGAATGGAGAAACAGCGAAAGGAAATGAACACAATGATGGAAAGCTTTACAGGGATGCAAGACCAGCAAGCTAACACAATGAATGCACTAGTTGGGGCCCTGACAAATTTCTTACAAAATAGCGGCAACAACAACAAA